AAAAGTGCTATGATTGTCGTCCTTTTTCCTTCTTCTTTTTGACAAACTTTTCGTTATATTTATATGGGCTCGTGTTGTGTTTGGGCCACGAAAGAAAAGATGATATAATATTCAGCTGAAGGAAAATTGTTAACCAACCACCGAAAAGCATGGCGAAGCGAGGAAAAGTGTGGAAATGAGAGTGGGTGGCAAAAAGGCGTTGTGAAAATGGACAGGAAAACCAGATGAGTCGAGACCATAAAACCGACAAACGACGACACGAAGGATGCGATGTCCAAATGGCAGTGAAAAGCCCCTCTCTCCACCCGCCCCCCTCCCGGAAACCCCCGCTGTAAAATGTCTAACCCACGCCTGCGTGTCTCGTCCTTCGTTGTGTATTTTCTTTTATGCCTTCAATTTTCCCTCTAGCTTGTTACACCATCCACTTTTTATACGTCTTTCCATATTTCCTCATACCTTTTGTCTTACGCTCTCGCTTTCCTCCGCTTTTCTCCGCTGTCTGTGCGACTCCATCATCTTGTTGGGAAAACTTTAAATAATTTAACACGCCTCCTCTTTTCTTTCGCCCCCACCCCCCATTCCCCTTCCCCACCTTCGGCCTGTGGTGAATAACAAGTGTCGAAGGGAAAAAATTAGAAGTGGGCGGTTTCGCTGGGTTGGTGGTTTTCCATGTGTTGAAATCAGAGTCATGTTGAGTTAGTTTTTCCGCCTGACGGTTGACGGGGCGGGGTTCTTGTTTTTCCCCAGAAAACAGACATAGTGAATACTCGTTTGTGCTTTTGTAGCATATTTTGCTGCGCAGCATTTTCCCTGAACTTTAACAAAGACTTTTAGCGGAATGGGGTTTTTTGCACCCTACAGATACAAATTTTCGTACAATCATATTGTTGTTTAATGAATATGGGCTATAAACAAACTTTTACCTGTAGACATTTACCATATAATCTTATTTGTTTTACCTCTCTTTACTTTCAGGTAAGGATATAAAGAGTTTGTTATTATTTGTGTCTTGAAATACTTTTTATGGATATAGCAAAGCGATGTATCTGTCCTACGTGAGTATTATTTAAAACGGAAGGAAAACTTAGTTAGGAACTTGCCTTATCAAATTGCTCTTGCATATAACTGAATTTCATACATGTATGTACATATGTAATAATATATTACAAGAAAATTGGGAACGCAAAAGAGTTGCAACATTCGTGGAAAATAACTTGCAAACTGGAAAGTGTCAATCGTTGGCAGAATTTTCTCGGCTTTAGTGTGCTGGTAGTGGTAATTATAGTTGTTGTTGCTTTTCGCTTACACGTCTCTAGGCCATGTCCGCCATTTTGTCCGGGCTTGGCTAGCAACCCCCGCAGCACACCCCCTCTGCCCTGAGTCTCCCTCCAGCCCACCCCTCACCACCCACCGCCCCTCGCACTACGTCCCTGGTTATCCCTCTTTTTTGGTCCGTTGCTAACCAATAAGTTTGTGACTTCCGCCAAATAGCGCGAGACACGCACACACTCACGTATGTTTGTGCAGAGGGGGGGAGGTTACTTTCGCCGAGTGCCCGAAACTTTCCCCACCCCCTGGCAACATTCACTCCGCCATTTTGAAATTCATACACAGCCAAAAATGGAACAAAATTATAAGGTACAAAAAAGTACACAACAAAAACAACTTTGTGCCTTCAGTGTGCACCCTAAAATATTTATTTAATTACGAAACAGTAGATCGAAGAACTGGAAGAATGCTTTTTGCTTTCAGTACCCCCCGTTTTTTCAGGTGTAGCAAACGGGGTGGCCAAATTTTGTTGGACAAAGGCGCAAGGTGGCTTTTGGAGTGCAGCAGGTGCAGGAGCGCCGAATGCATTTGGCCCAATGCAATGCGACCACACTCACACATACACACACACACACACGTAGATGTTCTCGAAGCTCACAGACACACAGACACGCACAGCAGTGCAGAAACACGCAGCCCACACGCAGGCAAACTTTCCATATTTCCAGGCGAGTTTGAAATATTTGCTTTGGCTTCGCTTGGCCTCTGTGTATTTGGCAGGCCATTCTCCCACCCACCACCCCCCACACCTACCCCTCCCTCCACACACACACACACACCATTTTGACCCACCCACTTTTCACCTCTTCAGACGCCCACTGGGGCAACAATCCTCCTACCTACCTACCACCCTTTTCCTTTCTCTTTGGCTCTTTCCCGCTAGTTATTCAGCCTCTGCTGATGATTGCACTGCTTTCTCCAGCGCATACACTCAAAGAAATCAATTATCTTAAAACGGATAAATACCATTTAAAGTTTGTGTTTCGCTTGGCAATTAAACTCTATCATTGTTCATAAGGAGTAGCGGAAATTGGTTTTATTTTTTTTTATTTTTGAAGAGACGCGAGAATTTCGCTGAGTGCAGTGCCCCTCTGCCCGTCCTCTGCTGCAGCTCTGCCGCCGCTCTGCCCTCACTTTAGTTGTTGTTTAGTTTAGCTCTCCACTCAGATGTTGCACTTCATGTTTGGCAACAAGTGCAAGCGAGACGAAAAACAATTCCAGTGGCAGTCGCCAGTTGGCAGTTGGTAGCAGAAAGGAAACCCTTCCTTTGGAGCCACACACCCCGACCCCGACCACCACCCCCTCTGCCCCTGCCTTACCCTAAACGTTAAACCAAAAGTGAGCTGCGAATTTCGGCGAGAGCCAAACCCCTGGACAACATTTGAAATGATGGTGCGGGCGGTTTTTGGCGGGGGGGATTCGGGCCAAGAACATGGAGGAGGAGGTAGTGAGGCTAGGAGGGGCGGGAAAGGGAGGATTTGGTGGTGCTGGTGCACCAGTTGTGGCAGCAGCCACTGCCACTGCCAATGATGATGGCTCAAACCAATCAAACTACAGAAACCCTCAAACACCAGCATCACCCATACGCCCCGTTGGCCAGAGATTTTGAACGCACCAAGAAAAACGCGCTAGAAAACATATATGTAATCCCGAGATTTCGCCGTTCATACGGACGGACAGACATACGGACATGGCCAGATCGGCTTGGCCATATAAATATATTATATTACACAGTATAGGGTCGGAAAAGTATCTTCCTACTTTGCTAAATAGTTCAAGTTTAGTCTGTGAGTTATGGGTATGAAAATATGTTACAATTGAACTGCGTTTTCTTGTGATAACTTTTGGTATTTTCGTTACTCATCATCCAAAAAGAAGCTGATGGGTCAGAAAAAAAAAGCTTTTCAAGCTTGAGCTTGGTAGATAAAAATCAAGAAAAATGGCTGGCAAATCTGAGTGTACAATCGGAATCGAAAAACAGAAGTTGTGTCCAAAGCGAACGGCGAAAGAAGACAAAGGCAAAGACGAAGCGAAACGAAACGATACGAAATAAAATGAAGAGAAAGAGCAGCATGAAATTCCAATGGAATTTCGTATGAATGATTTTTATTATTAAAGTGCGCCATTGCCTCTCGACTTGCGTTCATTGTTGTTATTATAGCCGCTGTATATAGTGCTCCGATATATACATGTATACATATATAGACAGACGCCAATACATCGGCCATATAAGTACGTACTCATATACATACATATGTATGTATGTACATGCATACTCTTATTCACGACTAAGTATGTCACAATTAGTCTGACTGATAAATATTCACGAGTTGCTCTTTGATTGAAATTTCAACGGGAACTGAAACCAGAAAAGCTGGCAATTGCATTGGAATTCGCGTTAAATGATTGCTCCACATGACAGATAATTGAAAACGTTGTCATTCAAATGCAATAAAAAATTTACAACACCTCTAGAGGCCTAAAAAGACCAAGTTCAAATCTCTATGAACATATGTACAATATGTGGATATGTGGATATTCCTTAGTTTAGATTAGTTTACACCATCAACCATACTATTTCGCTCAGTATTTTTGGTTTTTCCTTCTCAGTTCGCTCTCTGTTTGCCTTTGCTGCGCATTGTTTGTTCTAATTAAATCTTATCTAAACAATTTTAAGTACAAATTGTTTCAATGGCAATAAAAAGTAGAAAAAAATTCACAAAAGCTCGGGCGAGAGCACAAAGCAAAGTCGAGGGCAATGTTCTAAGGCAAAGGCTATATAATAAAGCGCACCTCGATAGATTTTCCCATACACACACTATACATACATACATATGTATAGTGTACATTTGGTTACATAAAAGAACTGCAAGATAAGGGAAGGAGAATCCAAGGGGCACAACAAAGTGGGAATCAAAATCAATAACTCAATAGGCATTCGAAAAGGAAAACAGAAATGAACGCAAAGCGAAGCAGAATCGTTCAATAAATAATGCGTATACGTTGCTATACATATATATGTACATGCATAATGTGATATAAATATATGTACACTGTATATACATTTTATATATGCCGATTTACAGGGAAACGGGTTGTACTTAACCCACAGCCAAAAGTCAAACGAAGGCGGCTATCCTGAATTTTGGCTTTTCAGTTTTGGCTGACTTGCCGTTCAAACAGACTTGACTGACTGACTGACTATGACAATGACAGTCAACCGATAAAGACGAGGAGCCTAAAAGTCGTCTAATTCGAGGGACCCTGACTCGACTCGAGTTGAGTCACCACCTCTCCATGCCCCATGCTCTAAACATGCGCTCATCCCCAGAATCGCAATTCGTACCTCATTTTTATACACACAGTTTCAATGACAAATCGATTGGAGGTGCTCAGTTTGTCGATTTCTGTGGTTTAATTTTTAAAATTCAACTGATTGGTAATCTAAGCGCAATGCGAATGGGAAGTATGTACATACATTAGTACATATGTACGTGTATAAGGAAACACAAAAATCGCAAATAGTAACACTAATCAAGTTTAAATTGCAACAAGTCTCGTCGCATCAATAAATAAAATGTATGTATGTATATATTTTATAAAGATTTAACTTACAATTTAGTTTCAAAAGCTGTCTTTTGGGCAGTGAGATGGATTTGTTTTGGGCTTACCTTGCTCGAAATAAATGTATGGGAATTTGGTTCCGAGAATTCACAATCTCTGCCGTATTCCCCTTATTCAGCTGCTTCCTCTGCATTCGTTATCTTTCTCTTTGCGTACATAATGTACTTGCTTTCACATACGTACCTACATGTATGTACATATATATGTATGTTTGTATATGTACATACGTAAGTATCTCCGACATTTTCCCGTTGATAAGAATAATGAAGTTAACTCATAGAGCCAGACATTCCGATTCAGACCGCATATGCCACATATACCATCTGCAGCAACTATGAATAACATACTTACATGTACGTACTTACATATGTATGAATGTATGGATGTATGTGTATTATAACCCATCTCTTCGATTGCTATTTATTTTGATCTCGCTCTTTTTTCTGCCCTCTTGAACTGCTCTAAAAATAAACTAATTGCCCCTGAAGTTTCGTTTTAATTTTATTCATTTTAATAGTCCTCAAAAATTCCATTCGCCTGAGAAGTGAAATTTCAGTCAAGATTTCTCACCTATGAATGTGCACATCATCGGTTTTCAATGTATTCATGAATGTAAAAAAAAAAAAAAAAAAAAATAGGGAATATTATTTATTCCAACAGATGCAGTAATGTTTCTGTTGTTCCTCCTTTGTTTTTTTTTTTTTTTGTGCAATTTTCGGTTTGTTTTGCTTTGCCGGTTATTTTTATACATTTGTGATAAACAGAATATATGTATTTCACGTCGGCAAAGTCGATTATCTCATATGAAATACTACATTTGACTGTATGACACGCCCCTCATGTCAACCACTCTTGGTAATACCGGTGGCTTAACAATTCAATTTTATTTAGAAATAATTTTTGCTAGGAAATTAGACTGGGAATTTCAAAGATTCAATCTGGATACTTAGATAAAATCATAAATTTATTATTTTTACATTTCATTTAAAATAATTCAAATTACACATTACATTAATGTAATCGAAAAGTTATCACTGTAGTATTGAATGCTTTTCTAGGGTATTCAACTTTTCGTCTCTTGCTTTTCGTCTGTCATTCGTGAGTTTTTAATTTTGTGAATTTTCTGTCGTCGCCTTATATTATTATTACTACGGTTTTCTATTTTATTTTATTTTTTTTTTGTGTGAGCCGTACTCTGCCAACGTCGCTGCCTCTGCCGGCGTCGGCGTTTTGCCGATTTGCGCTTCGCGTTGCGCTTACTCACAATCAAATCTCACGCCGCATTTTTAGTCTCAATAATAACTGAAACGAAAAACACGCGCAGCCGAAACGAAGCGCAAACCAAAGAGGAAAGCGAAAGAAGCAAGGAAGGGAAACGGCGGTTGAAAACGCAAAACGAAAACGACGACACATCGTCAAACGTCAGTTGCCTTTTATTTATTTTATTCCGACACTCTTTCCTCTATGTTCCTTTTTTTTAACTTCTTTATTTTCGAGTGTTTGTGTGGGTATGTGTGTGCTGATTGTTTTTGCATTTCGCGTTTAATCAAATAGTAAATTAAACTGTTTTTAAAGATATCAAAAAAAAAAAACTTGTGTAAGGAGGAGGGTGTGAAAAAGAGAGGAGGCGAGAGCAACTCGTTCTTCGTCACTCGCTGCGTTTTGTGTTGTCGTGGGTCGCCGTCTATTTTCCACTGACTGGGTCGCTCTCTTTCTCTCTTCTCCCCTTCTCTCACCACCTTTTCCTGTTCTTGTTGTAGTTGTATTTGTATTTGTTGGTGCAGCATAATTAGACGCCGTCGATTTCTCGCGACTTTGCGAGAGTAATAGTGCTGTCAGCTCAGCGGTTTTCCCCGCCAGTTCTAGCTATTTTCAAGACAAATGCAATTGACAATTAGAATTTACCTCTAACGTGAAAATACCTCTATACGAAAATAAATGCTAAGCCGATTTTGTTACAAAAACAGTTCTAATTATTAGAAAACTATACACAAGACATGAGTTGAACAGTATTCAATTTATACAGATATATATACCAAAACAAACAAAAATATTTATGTTGAGCAACACTGTTGCTCCCCACTTTTCATTGTGCAGTTTTGTTTTTGGCCCTCTTTGTCTCTCCCACATGAGGTTCTCTATGTTTTTTCGCCATTGTTGTGTTTCTACATTCGCGGCATGTTAATTTGTTGTTTCTCGTTTCCAATGCTTTTTGTGTAGGTTTCTTTTGTTTTATTTTTCATACTCGCCGTTCGTTATCAAAAGGGAAACAACAAAAAGCCAACAACAAACAAAGACAAACCGATAAACGTCGAAAGCTTGTCGCATATTTGAGGCATTTTGCCTTGCCTGGTTTCATCTCGTAAAGCTTTTAAACATTCTAATTAGTTATGCTTTCCTTTCCTTTCGTCTCGTCTTCTTTCTTTAATTGATTAGGCGATTTGTATAGAATTTCTGATCGGAAATGACAAATTAAAGTCCAATTAGAAGGGGTCTAGTAGAAAATTAAAAAGGAAAATAATTCAGATTTGATATTTGTCGATTAATTTTTCTTATCTCTTTCGGTTGACCCAGATGATTTAAATCGTAAGAAATGCTTCTAGATTTCGCGTTTAACGTGTTCTATAACATATTCCTTCATTTGTTTGTTCGTGATTCTCTCAATCTTCTTCCGTTTCGTCTTCATCTTTTAGTGTCTCTGTTTTGCTCTCTTTGCATTGCTTATTTTCTGATTGTGCGACAACTGCTTAACAATTTACAATTATGTACATATGCACATACAAACATATTGTACATAAGTATTAATCTACAGTAAATTATCGAAATTTATTCACCAAAATTATTTAAATTCTTTGTAATATTCTTTGTTATACAGAAAAAGATCTACAAACTATTTACCCGATATAATAGATTTTTTTTGGGAATGAGATTATATCTGTTAGATGGATAAAATAAATATCTTGTGTTCGTTTTGAGGAGTTTTTACTGTCGTTTCGTGTGCACATCGGACTATGTAGTGTCCGTGCTATTGTATTTGTTGATTGACTCAACTTGGCGACGGCGACACACGCGCGCCCAATTCACAAAACTTTTGTTTTATACACCGAATCTTTTATTTTTTTTTTTTTTTTTTTTTTTTTTTTTTTTTTTTTGGTTTTTATTTGTTATGCTGCGCGATTACGTCAGCTGGCATTTGGTTTTTATTTTTCGGAGACCTGGGAAAGCATATGTACATACAAACACACAAACACTCTCTAACTAACTCACTCATATGCAAAAAAAAAGGGAGAAAAATAGGTAAAGGTGTGTAGAAAAATTTAATCATTTGGCTCTGGCACATTTGTTGTTGACTTGTTTCTGGTGAAAGTTTTACAAATCAAATGGAGGAAAAATCAACGACGAATCGCAAAAAAGTGCAACTCAACTCATCCATTAAATAGTAAAAATCGCTGAAAAAACTAAAGAAAATACATAAAAGGCAAGAAACCAGGGAAAATTGTAGCTCAGAGTTAATTGATTTTCCTGTTGCTTGTGGAAAACCGAAAACCGAAATATGCAAAAGTGAGTATATGGCCAATACATACATCCATATGTATATCCATATATCCATATATATATATATATATATATATATGTATGTATATGTACATCATCTCCATATGCCAATGACTAGTTGTGTATGTGCAAATTTGATTTAATATCGCCTTTAATTAAAACTAAAAATAAATAAGGAAGGCAAAAATAGAGAGAGAATAGAAAATTGCCCTCAGCCCCACATCCTTTGTCTCTGTCTCGTTATTTTTTTTGTCGCCCCTCTCTGTCTAGCTGCATCACCTGTCATTGGCAAGGCAACCGTTAGCTTGCATTTCCTCGGCGAAGTAACGGCACAAGTATAGCCATCTCTCTTTCATTTACAATATTGGTGAAAATACTAGAAAACGTTTCGATAATTTGTTTTTACAAAAAATAGCTATTTTCTATTATATTCAATGTTTATGTTATTATTTCTTTTCTTTGATGACGTGGTAAATTGTATGTATGTATGTACATACATACGTGTGTACAAACATATCTATTAATCTATAGAAAATAGTTTTTAGCTGTGGCTATAATTGTAATTAAACAGCACTGGAACAAATTAATACGAGGTCGTCGGGTTTTATTTGTTGTGGTTGCGTTTTGATTACGAAATACATATGTATGTATATGTATGTGTTAACATTTGCATCTTAATGCTGATGGCTGTATGCTGCAAAAATTAAACAAAATAATAAACCCAGTTGAACAAAGATTTGGATGTTAAATGTCCTGAGTGGTAAAAATTAATAAATAATTTAATTAAGTGAAATGACTTTCAGAAATACTCTGAAAAAAGGGCATTGGAAAAGGGGATTCAAAAAAAAAAAAAGTTGTAAAGACATGACAGTGCAGTTAGCGAATGCAAGCTTTCTAACGCCGCAGTCAACTTCGGCAGCGCAGTCGGCGGCCTTGCCAACAAGAACAAACGCGAAACATCGCGAAGCAACGAGAGCGCGGCAGAGAGGCAGAGCCGCAGAGCAGCAGCGAGAGGAGCGCCGTTGAGAGCAGAGAGCGGGCAGAGAGCAGAGCGACATTTCGGCTGCAGACGGCGGTGGTGTCGGTGTCGTTTTGGTTTTGTCGGCGGTTGCTAAACACAATTTAAGTTCACTCGGTTAGCAGACATTACACACTGCCTGCTCACATACATATGTACGCACTTGTATATATGTGCAATGTGTGTGTGTTTGTGCAAGAAACCAGAAAAAACGAAAAGTACAACATTCGTTGAGTCGCGTTCGGCTTAATTTTTTTTTTTTTTGTGTTACCGTGTGTGTGTTTGTGCTTTGGATTTGCCAATTTTAGCCGACTGACTCTCAGTGTCGAACTTAAACTTAAAGAGCGAGCAACGTGACGTGTCGCTACAAATTCGCGCACACAACTTCCTACTACAAAAAAAAAAAAAAAAAAAAAACCGAAAGAAAGAAGCAAAAAAAAAACGTCGAAAAGCGAGACTTGTTTTTTTTCTTGTGCATCTCTGTGTGTTTGTGGAAGTGCGAAATGTAATGTGAAGAGAAAGAAAGATAGAGGGAGAGTCGCAAAGCGAGAGAGCTAGAGCAGCTGATTTAGCCGGCAAGTGTCAGCTGTTTCACACCAGAGCGAGATAGCGCTAGTTCGGCGAGGCGAACATGTTATGTCTTATACGCCGTCTCTTCTTTGTGGTTCATTCGCTCTAGCAATGTTCCAACAACAACAACCGCAACAACTGGAAATACAAGAAGCACAGCAAATACAACAACAAAATCCGCGTTTACAACTAAATAATCATTATCAAAGTATACCCCAAAATCAACAATATATGCAAAACCGCCAGGATTATCTACAAGTTCAGCCAACCGTAGAAATAAACAAGTTGCAAGTTGTACAAAAAACACAGCAACAACACAGTTATGTGCAACAAATATACCATCAACAACAAAGGCAAATTGTTGATTTTCAGCGTATCAATGAAAGGGCGCACATGCAACCCACGCAAATAGCATTGCAAAGTCAGCAAAGAATACCAGATTTACAACAACAATTGCAGAAAATACAACGTTTAGCGAGCAAACCAGAAATACTCCAAATACAGCAATTTCAAACAGCTACAGCTCAACAAAAGCAAACGAAAAAGCAAGGTGCAAAAACAGCAACGATAACATCGCTTAACAGCAATAGCAACAGCAACAATAGCAGCAGCAATAGCAACAACTACTACACTAATAACAGGAACAAAAATAGTATCGACAATAATAGCAGCAACAGCAGCGGCCAAATAATGTTAGCCTCTGCCAGCGCCTCTGCCTCCGCTCGGAAACGCAGTCGCAGCGCGAGTAACGGCAGCAAAAGCAACAACAAAACTGCCAGTGGCCGCAAATTTACCAAAAGCGTGAGTGTGTTTGGTTGTTTTTCCTTTCTTTTCTCTCCGTCTCTCATTCCCTCTCTCTGTTTACATTAAGCGGTTTTGCCTCTGCACGTGCTAGACGGTATAGAGAGAGAGGGAGAGAGCGATTACAATAACAGCTCATTGTGCTGAGCGCCCAGCCTGCGTCGACTGCGACACCAGCGTTAACAGCGACGCTCGCAAAATTGGGCCACAAAAAACAACAAAATGAAAGAAAAATGTTAATGTTAACCCAATGGGAATTAAGAAATTAAGCGATAAATCGCTGGGGTAGGGTAATGCAGAATGAAAATAGAAACGCCGATAGGAAACCATTAAATTGAGAAATGTCTGATTATATAGAATCGCTTTAAGACTCATAATAATTTTAACCGAAACCCAGTTGATAGGAATAAAAAATTGGTGGTCAGAAAATTGAAATGATATCGGAACACATTAAACCTTATATTGACTTGTGGTTTTGATTGTGGATTGTGGATTATGAAAATGGCGAAAAGAAAACAATATTAATTTTAAGACCAAAAAGGTGTACAAATTATAAACTGTAATCATAATCACAATCACAAATTGCCCACAAATTTATATCATCCCTTCCTTTTTTAAAATGGGTTAATCAATACTTTTTATTGCAGCACTAAATTCATTTCCCCCTTTTAGATAATGTTTATATTTAAATTGCCAACAATTTTAATAGCCTAAATTTAAAGCAACAACAACGATTCTTCTTCATTCATTTTTGTAGCGGAGCAGATGTTGCTATAGCGCTCTCGCAGCTTTATCAGCCGCTCTCGTGCAACTTCGTGTCCTCTTCGGCTCGTCATTCGGGTCTAAAAATAAAACAGCATGTGCGTCTGCATGTGTGTGTGTGGCCATTCGTTTGGTGGCATTTGTTGTTGTGTTTTTTGTCTGTAAGCAAAAGGCAATGAAAACGAAAATTTGCGTGACGTCTCTCGACCTTGACTCATCGACATGAACTGTTAAACTGCGCTAGCTGAAGCGGCGCGACCGAGCGCCGGCTGCGCTGTTGACAGCGCAGTCGAGCCGAGTTGCGGTTCGATGTGTTTTTTCTGTGCTTTTTTTGATGTGTGTTTTGTTTCCATTTGTTTTTGCTGTTTACTGCTTTTTCTTTTGTTTTTCTTTGGCTTGAAGTCAACGTCTCTTGCGAGACAACAGCAAAACCAGTTTAATAAAACACAAATACAATTACACTACCATTGCCTTATCAACAATATTGCCAAAAAAATAAAGCAGAAACTGGTTAGCTTACTATTTTTTTTTTTTCCTAAGTTGCAACTTTTGCGACTAGCAGGTACTACTTCTTGAAATAGTACCCGGGACTAAAAATATAACGATTTGATTGTAAATAACAGCACAATGGAAAAACATACAACGACTTTTCAAGCACTATTGGAATGTATCTCTCCACAATCATCTCTCCTCGTAATTCTCTTTTCATGTCACGTCTCTCTCTCTCTCTTCGTCTTCCTCTCGAACTGAGATTTTCTCTCAATAAGAAATGCATATGCGTAATGCATGTGAGTTCCGTTGGTTTTCAGTGCCACACCCACGCAACGCCCAACCACCCACTTGTGTGCCTCTTCCGATCTCCTCCTTCCCTTGTTTCTCCGCGTCTCTTCCGTATTTTTTCATCCTTCCAGTTCCATATTCCCCTATTCACTATTTATGTTTTATGTGGCGAGAAAAATTGGCATTATATATTATTGACATGAATAGTTTATAGCTTTTATACGAAAACAATGAAAAGTAATTAGAGCGAACCAAATTAAATGTATAAGTTTCCAGCTCCCTATAACTTGATATTTAATTTATACAATTTTACATCGAGGGACCTAATTTTTTGTCTGTGCCATTCCATTCCATCTCGGTCCGCATTTCCATTCCACATTGGCTCCTCTGCTCTTTTCGCATGCACCTCTCTGGCTCTCCCTTTCGCACTGCCCCTCTCTTCTCCCTTTCGCACTGCAGTAGCATAATCATCATCATAGATTTATCTCATTCGCGCCCACGTGAGGCAAAGGCAAGACCCAAAAATTAAGTCGTCGTCGTTTGTCGCTTTGGGTTTTGCGCTTCTCCTTCTCCGTCCGAACCACTTCTTCTTCTGCTTCGCCCCTCTTTCCTCAACATACCCCCTCCCCTCGTTAAAGTCAGTTCATTTTGTTGTCTGGCCTCTCGTTGTTCCCCCCTCATTCGCCTTTGTCATTTTCGCTTTCTCAGTTTTTCTCAGTGTTGCCAATTTCGTGTTTCGCTGGCCGTTACAATTTTCATGCATTAGCCATGTTTGGCAACACTTTTTTGTTCGTTTGCCCCACAGATTTTCCTTATGCTTCCGTTTCGCTGCTGGCTGCCTCCTCTTTTCCTTATTCTTTTCGTATGCATTCGGGAATGAACGGCATCCATGCGACAGCTGTTGTCAAAAGGCCAATGATAAAGAGGGGTGAACTGAAGAGAAACATGATTACACATGCCAACATTTCAGATCTTTACCATACCGATAAATATCCAAAATTCAGTCACATTAGATAAATTGTTATTAAATCAAGTTGTTATTTGATAAGGAAATTGGCTTAATGAAGTTAAAGAAAACGAAATGTTATGAATTCTTACATTCTTGCTTGTTGCCAAACAACATTAAATAAATATTCCTCAACGCATTGCACTACTTGTTATTTTGCCCATTCCACTCAAAATCAATTTTTTGATATTTTGAGTTCCTAATATATTTAAATCCAAAATTAAACAAAAAAAAAACTAAACTGCAGTAACCGATTTCAATTGTTAGAATAACAGTTGAGTTGGCAAAACATCTGAAGATTGTCTAGTTAGCTTGTTCCTGGCTGTAATATTGCTTATTCCAGAGTCGGAGGGCAGCACTGTTGCCATGTTGTAGTTGTTGCCTTTGTTTTGTGGTGTTGTGGCAATGGCGCCCTCTGCCGGCGTCGTCGCTCGCGAATTGACAAAGACGCCGGCTGTCCTCTCCATCTCTCTCGCTCTCTCGGACTCTTCTCTTTTCACTCCCCACGGTGTCTCCTCCCCTCGTCATCATCACTCGGCAAGCAGCAGCAGCTGCTTTCCGTTTTGGATTGGAAGTTCGGTGGAATGGAAGGCAGCAGCAAAAGAAGAAGAAGCTGCAACGCCGCGAAGCTGGCAGCGCAGCTTGTATTTGTAGTTGTAGTTGTAGTTGGCGGCGTGTGTAGTTTGCTTTCGCTGTTGTTTTTAAACGAACGCGCGCGCGGAAGTTGCGCACAAAAATATTTATCATCCAAAGACAAAATAGAAAAAAAGGCATATAATGTGTAAAGCAATCGTGATAATTTTAAGTGTACTCTTGCCCGTTTTCGTTTCGGTTTCTTTTTCGTTTTCGCAAATAAGCGAATAGTTACACTCGCTCTCGCTCTTTTGGTCGTTCCATCGCTCTCCCTCTCGCCGCTCTTGTTCTTCCCTTTTGGCTTGCTAACTCTCTGTGTGTTTGCACCTTCTTTCTTTCGCTCCGCTCGTTACCATTTTACAAACACACACGCGCATGATGAGAGCGACTGCAAAAAAATCGGAATAAACACGGTTATAATATATGTACAAATAAACGATATATATGTATTTATATGTTATGCATATATACATATAGGAAAATATCAAGGCAAATGTGAAAATAAGTGCAAACTGAACGAAAAGGCAAAAATAAAACAAAGGGCAAAACCAAATGTGATAATATTTGTAATAGAATGTGAAAAGTCAAACACATACAAATACACGACTCACGCACGTAGCCACGTATGTGTGTGCAGAAAAATATGCGGCGCTTAAAAAAGGTGAACGGGAGTTTGTGACTGAAAAATTGTACCCTTAAACAAATTCAAGTTTGGCATATAACGAAAGTTTAAAGAAAATTAAAATTGATATGAAAACCAGAGCAGAGAAAAGTGCAAAAAAAGAGGGTCTAAAGTAGCCATTTTCATTTCTAGTAAAATTCTTCAATTTTTTCATTGTCTTTAGCTTTGCTTTTTGATAAAACATTACACACACATACAAATGCCACTGCATTCTCGCTCTCTGTCGCTGCTGCTGTTTCCCTCGCACTCTCGAGCACGCAACGCATGCCGCAGCCGCGCTATTTTCGTCCCGCTCGCACCCGCGCACTTATTTGCACATTCTCCTTTGCTGCCTCTTCTGTTGCCACCGCCCCCGGGTTGCCACCTAGTCGCGATTTCCAAATACCTCGCATGTGGCAGCGCTATCTCGACCAAATCTAAAGAGAGAGCAAAGCAATTGCAAAACGAAAGAAGCAGCGGAGCAAAACAAAAGCGGTGTCAGTGTTGCAAAGTGCATAAAGCAGTCAGAGAGAGAGAGAGATATATATATAAAAAAAAAAACTAAACGAATTCTATTCCATGAAAAAAAAAAAAAAACAAGGGATCATTTGTGTTGGATTTCATTATTGTTGGGCCGGATATATATATATATATTGAAATATATTTCATAAGATAAATGCCACGACTTGTACAATTAAAGCAGTAACTGCAGGCAAGAAATGCATATTAAACTAATTTTGGAGTTTACAGCAGCTGAATAAGAAAATAATTTACTTAAACACTTATTTTGTAAAATGATTCGATTCGCTGGCAAAAAGAACTATTTAATATTACAAAATTCCAAGACTTTTTATCAAAGAATGAGCGAGAACTTCTTTATAAATCGCAACGTCATGTATAATTAAATATATGATTCAGATTTATTTGAATACAATTATGCAATACTTATAAATAATTTTTTTGTATTGCTTCCTATTACAGATGTCCGCCGGCGCTCAGTTGCAGATGGCCCCGCAGACCACTTCGGCCCTAAGTCACCACCATCCCAATCAGCAGCAGCAGTTGCAACCGCCGCAGCAGCAGCAACCACAGCCCCCGCCCCCGCAACAGCAGCATTTTGCTAACCATCACAGCGCCCAGCAGCAGTCGCAGCAGCAGCAACAGGAGCAACAGAATCCTCAGCAGCAGGCGCAGCAGCAGCAGCAGATACTCCCGCAGCAACATTTGCAGCACCTGCACAAGCATCCGCATCAGCTGCAACTGCATCAACAGCAGCAACAACAACTCCACCAGCAGCAGCAACACTTCCACCAGCAGTCGCTGCAAGGGCTGCATCAGGGTAGCAGCAATCCGGATTCGAATATGAGCACTGGCTCCTCGCACAGCGAGAAGGATGTCAATGATATGCTGAGTGGCGGCGCAGCAACGCCAGGAGCTGGAACATCAGCGATTCAACAGCAACAACAGCAACATCCCGCCTTTGCGCCCGCACTTGGAATGCAGCAGCCGCCGCCGCCGCCCCCTCAGCACTCTAATAATGGAGGCGAGATGGGCTACTTGTCGGCAGGGACGACTACGACGACGTCGGTGTTAACGGTAGGCAAACCTCGGACGCCAGCGGAGCGGAAACGGAAGCGAAAAATGCCGCCATGTGCCACTAGTGCAGATGAGGCGGGGAGTGGCGGTGGCTCTGGCGGAGCAGGAGCAACCGTGGTTAACAACAGCACTCTGAAGGGCAAATCATTGGCCTTTCGTGATATGCCCAAGGTAAACATGAGCCTGAATCTGGGCGATCGTCTGGGCGGATCTGCAAGTAGCGGAGGAGGAGCCGGTGTCGCCGGAAGCGGAGGAGGTGGCGCTGGTTCCGGTTCTGGAAGCGGTGGCGGCAAGAGCGCCCGCCTAATGCTGCCCGTCAACGACAACAAGAAGATCAACGACTACTTCAATAAGCAGCAAACAAGCGTGGGCGTCGGTGTGCCAGGTGGTGCGGGAGGCAATACCGCTGGTCTCCGAGGATCACATACGGGAGGTGGCAGCAAGTCACCATCATCCGCCCAGCAGCAGCAACAACAGCAGGTGCAGCAGCAGACGGCGGCACAGCAGCAGGGTAGCGGTGTTGCGACAGGCGGCAGTGCAGGCGGTTCTGCTGGCAACCAGGTGCAAGTGCAGACGAGCAGCGCCTACGCCCTGTACCCACCAGCTAGTCCCCAAACCCAGACGCCGCAGCAACAACAGCAGCAGCAGCAACCGGGAGCCGACTTTCACTATGTCAACTCCACCAAGGCGCAGCAACAGCAGCAGCGCCAACAGCAACAGACTTCCAATCAAATGGTTCCTCCACACGTGGTCGTCGGCCTTGGTGGTCATCCCCTGAGCCTCGCGTCCATCCAGCAGCAGACGCCCCTGTCCCAGCAGCAACAGCAGCAGCAACAACAGCAGCAGCAACAGCAGCAATTGGGACCACCGACCACATCGACGGCCTCTGTGGTGCCAACGCATCCGCATCAACTCGGCTCCCTGGGAGTTGTTGGAATGGTCGGTGTGGGCGTTGGCGTGGGCGTTGGAGTAAATGTCGGTGTGGGACCACCACTGCCACCGCCACCGCAGATGGCTATGCCCGCGGCCATTATCACTTATTGTAAGGCCACTCAAACGGAGGTGTCGCTGCATGAATTGCAGGAGCGCGAAGCGGAACACGAATCGGGCAAGGTGAAACTGGACGAGATGACACGGCTGTCCGATGAGCAAAAGTCCCAGATTGTTGGCAACCAGAAGACGATCGACCAGCACAAGTGCCACATAGCCAAGTGTATTGATGTGGTTAAGAAGCTGTTGAAGGAGAAGAGCAGCATCGAAAAGAAGGAGGCGCGACAAAAGTGCATGCAGAATCGCCTTAGGCTCGGACAGTTTGTCACCCAGCGAGTGGGCGCCACATTCCAGGTAAGAATGATAAAAGAGGATTATTATTATTGATCATAGAGGTTCTATGGAGGCTGCTGTGCTTCATCACTATACAATTCAATTATTAAAACATACTTTAATCGTAAATTTACAGGAGAACTGGACGGACGGCTATGCGTTCCAGGAGCTGAGTCGGCGGCAAGAAGAAATAACCGCCGAGCGTGAAGAGATTGATCGGCAGAAGAAGCAGCTGATGAAAAAGCGTCCGGCGGAGTCCGGACGCAAGCGCAACAACAACAGCAACCAGAACAACCAGCAGCAGCAGCAACAGCAACACCAGCAACAGCAGCAGCAACAAAATTCCAACTCGAACGATTCCTCGCAGCTGACGGGCGGAGTTGTCACCGGTCCGGGCAGTGATCGCGTGAGCGTTAGCGTCGACAGCGGATTGGGTGGCAATAATGCGGGCGCGATCGGTGGCGGAGCCGTTGGCGGTGGCGTTGGAGGTGGTGGCGTTGGAGGTGGTGGTGTTGGCGGTGTCGGCGGCGGTGGCGGACGTGGTCTTTCTCGCAGCAACTCGACGCAGGCCAATCAGGCTCAATTGCTGCACAACGGCGGCGGTGGCTCGGGCGGCAATGTTGGCAACTCGGGCGGCGTTGGCGATCGATTGTCAGATCGAGGAGGAGGAGGTGGCGGCATCGGTGGAAATGATAGCGGTAGCTGCTCGGACTCGGGCACGTTCCTGAAGCCAGACCCCGTATCGGGAGCATACACAGCGCAGGAGTACTACGAGTACGATGAGATCCTCAAGCTGCGCCAAAATGCCCTGAAGAAAGAGGACGCCGACCTGCAGCTGGAGATGGAGAAGCTGGAGCGGGAGCGCAATCTGCACATCCGAGAGCTCAAGCGGATTCTTAACGAGGATCAGGTGCGCACAGTTTCATATTATGCCCATTTCACTTTCTTTCATGCCACTTATCTTTGGGTATATATATCTCTAAATCTTTCAGTCCCGCTTCAACAATCATCCCGTGCTGAACGATCGCTATCTTCTGTTGATGCTCCTGGGCAAGGGCGGCTTCTCAGAGGTCCACAAGGCCTTCGACCTAAAGGAGCAACGCTATGTCGCATGTAAGGTGCACCAATTAAACAAGGATTGGAAGGAGGATAAGAAAGCTAATTATATCAAGTGAGTAGTAAAACAGAGCAGGAAAAGTCAATGGGGGAATGCCAATTGGTTAGACAATAAGGATATATGTAGTTTTCTTAAAGGTCACAGTAGCTGTGTTGTAAACGTATGGTTTGAATAATCGGGTGCATTTAGATCAGACTTGTGTAGATGCTATACATATTTCTATCAAATATCATTGTGCCATAATGTGAAACACTTGAGGGATTAAAAGTAAAAGCTCAGCTTTAAGTGACATTGGGTGGGCCTACCCGTTTTATATCAATATACTAAAGTCTCCCCCTTTTGAAATCCTCGCTAATAAACCAAAATTCAGACACGCTTTGCGGGAATACAACATTCACAAGGCACTGGATCATCCGCGGGTCGTCAAGCTATACGATGTCTTCGAGATCGATGCGAATTCCTTTTGCACAGTACTCGAATACTGTGATGGCCACGATCTGGACTTCTATTTGAAGCAACATAAGACTATACCCGAGCGTGAAGCGCGCTCGATAATAATGCAGGTGAGTTTACGAACCATTTTTGAAAGAACTCGAAAGTAGCAAAGAAAAACATAGTTCAACAAATAATAATCAAACAATTATCCGTCCAGGTTGTATCTGCACTCAAGTATCTAAATGAGATTAAGCCTCCAGTTATTCACTACGATCTGAAGCCCGGCAACATTCTGCTCACCGAGGGCAACGTCTGCGGCGAGATTAAGATCACCGACTTCGGTCTGTCAAAGGTGATGGACGACGAGAACTACAATCCCGATCACGGCATGGATCTGACCTCTCAGGGAGCGGGAACCTACTGGTGAGTTGAGTTATTGGCCTACGTTGTTGTACCAATGTAAATTGTTTATATTTGACACTATTTTAGGTATCTGCCACCCGAGTGCTTTGTCGTGGGCAAGAATCCTCCGAAAATCTCCTCCAAAGTGGACGTGTGGAGTGTGGGTGTCATCTTCTACCAGTGTCTGTATGGCAAAAAACCCTTCGGTCACAATCAGTCGCAGGCCACGATTCTCGAGGAGAATACGATCCTGAAGGCCACCGAAGTGCAGTTCTCCAACAAGCCAACTGTATCTAATGAGGCCAAAGTGAGTTGTCTCTTAAATTTAAAGCAAATCAGATGCGTGCATGGCTAAGTTCCGTATTTTTATTATTATTATTATGCAGAGTTTCATTCGGGGATGTTTGGCATATCGCAAGGAGGATCGCATGGATGTGTTCGCGCTGGCCAGGCACGAGTACATTCAGCCACCGATACCGAAGCATGGGCGCGGTTCGCTCAATCAGCAACAGCAGGCGCAACAACAGCAGCAGCAACAACAGCAACAGCAGCAGCAACAGTCGTCAACGTCACAGGCCAATTCCACGGGCCAGACATCGTTCTCTGCCCACATGTTTGGCAATATGAATCAGTCGAGCTCGTCCTAGCTGCCAACCAAGCGCAATTCAAACTCATAATTCTCCGCCGCCGCAGTAGCAGCAGCAACATTAGCTGCCAGCCAACAGCAACTCCAACAGCAGCAGCAACAGCAACTCCAAATCCAGCAATACCAGCAGAATCCGCAAATCCATTTGCAAAACAGCAGTAGCAACTATGCGGCCTCGCTTCTAGATGCAGCCTTTTGCTACGAAACCGTGATGGATGCAGCCCACTTCCAAAACAACAATAATAATAACAGCACCATCATCAAAAACAATATGCAGACAATGTCGGCAAACGCTGCCAATGCTGCTGCAGCTGCAGGAGGAGGGGGAACACCGACCTATCAGGGGAAATACAAGCGCTGGCAGCAGCAACAGTTACAACAGCAGGCGCAACTGCAACAGCAGCAGCACAAGCTGCTGTTGCAGCAAGAGCTGCTCTAAAATAAGATAAGTGTGATGATGATGATAAAGGGAATGATGATGACAAGGGAGTTTAAGAGAACGAGGAGCTGCCTGCAACACTGCCGCCAAGCCATGCTAATATTGCTGCTGCAACAGCAATGCCGTCAGCAACAACAAAACAACACCCCAAGAATTTTCACAGCGAGTCGCAAACAACCATCAACAAAAACTTAAATTAAAACTATATAAAAATATATATACATGCATATATATATTAAATGTGATAAACAAGCGTAAAGCAAAAAAAAAAAAAAACAACAAGTACGAGAGAAGAGCAGCAAAAACAGCAGAAGGACGAACAACAACCGGGGCAAATCCCTAAAAGTTGGGGAAGAAGCCAAGCTGCACCTAAAAACCAGAAGAAAATAGCATAGAAAAAAATATAGGAGCAGAAGACAGGTAAAAAATTAAAATCTACGAAGTATGGTCGAGGAAAAAGCTTGAGAAATTGTTTATAAAGGCTGCTATAAACACACACTTTTTTTGTTAACTATAACTACCATGCAGAATATAATTAATCTAAAATAAATAATAATTAAATGCTAAATGTAAATTAGTAAGTAGGGTGGCATCTAAACAGATTCTAAACGCAAAACACGATTCCCAACAACGCGAAGAAACATAAGGAAAAGGAACATAATATTTTTTCTTTGTATTACATAGCAAATTAGCTTAGGCTAAAGAGCACACATTATAGAAACTGAAACGGAAACCCCACAAAAAAACGCAAATAACGATTATAAAGACGCAGAGAAAAATAGAGAACATTTGCAATGGGAAATTACAAATTATTGCATTATTTGTTGGGTTATGTTTGTAGTTCAAACATTAAAATAACACTTACTCATACACACAACGTAGACACTGCAGACTAATTTTGCCTTACAAGAAAAAAAACCGCTAATGTTAATAAAAGAGTTTAATTTTGAGTACATGCATATTTACCTGTATGCATGAACGTTTTTGCACATATATAATAATATATATTTATCTCTTCCTTTTAACGCTTTTAAACGGAAAACACCCCAATTATATTTTTATTCAATTTGAAATAAGAAAAAGTCATTCTTGTTTGTTTTGTATCAAAATCCAATAAAAATTGATTTAAATATAAAAATACCATAAACATACCAACACAAAACACACACTCACACCCACAATATATATATATATGTATATATATATACATTTGTATATAGTCGTATCTGAACCACAAACAAATCCGCAGCGAAAAAAACTGAAAAATTCATAGAATCAAACGCAATTCCAAAATATTCAAGAAAGAAATCAGATAACCTTTTTTTTTATATGCCACAAAGAAAATGCAGAAGAAAAAAAAATTCATACATGTGCAAGAATCGAGAAAAAGAAAAGCATGAGATCACATTTTCAGATCGGATCCGAAAAAATCAACAGAAAAGAAACCCATTTGAAGTAATATACTTCTAAATACATAGTAAACTAATGTAATAGTTTTTATTAAAATTACACATATATGTATCAATATATATATATATATATATATATACATGTTTTTTTTTTTTAATTTTAAAATTATATTTGTAATGCACTATGCGTAACATTGTATTAAATATTAATATCCAAGGCATATTAATAGAAATATATATACATATATAAAACCTGCAAAAAACATGAACTACCAAGCTAAATGTTTCAATAATATATAGATCTATATGTATGTAAAACCGATATGAAATCTGCCTAAAGCCAGAAAAAAAACCTTAAAGAGAAAGCTCCGTAGAGGAAAAGAGAATGAGCGGGGAGTGAAAGATGCAAGTTCATCCAAAAGCGAAAAACATTTTTTTCTTAAGTCTACGCAAAAAAAATGAATGAAAGTAACCCGAAATTAGTTTTTAGATTAATAATATTAAAAAAAAAATAACGCGATAGAGAGCAACAAAAATGGGCGTAGATAAGGACGGCAAGCAGAACAAGAAAAAAAAGCAGCGGCAACAACTCCCTAAAAATAGCAAAGAGAACTGTAAATATTTATATAAATAATTTATGCCTAATTAAAGTTAAAATTAATGAAAAAAACCCGTAAAAAAAAAACAAAAACCAGAAGAACCATTTCAGATTTGTATGCAAATTTGTATATGTACGTACTTTCCTTTAATTTTAGCCAATCAGTTTATAAGATTACTTTTTTTTTGCATCTCTATAAAGAATAATGATATGAGGATAATGATTCCGATTTTTTTTCCGTTTAATGTAACCGTTAGAATTAGCCCATAATGGTCGATATCTAAATGTGTGTGTATATCGATGTGATGTCATCGATTGTCGATAGCGATTGGATGCGAGCGTGTGTTAATTTAATTTGATAAAAGATAAAGGAAAGCAAGGAAAGTGAAGATAATGAAAGGAGATACATAGAGTATGAGAGCGAATCTATCTATTATATAATAATGTAAAATGCACATCTTTAAATTATAACTTATACATATTTAAAACAAAACTATTATTATTATTTTGATTACCATTACCATTATTTTTTATTACCACTTAACGGTTTCGGTTCGATCCACAGCGAAACCAACAACAACCAAGAAACAGAAACAACAAGAGAAACAAAATAAACAAGCGAAATGTTTGATAAAAAAAACTACGAAATGTTTTCATTTATTTGTGTCTTTAATTCGATTTTATTGAGTTTTTCATAGAGAAAGTTGTCACACTCAAGAACACACACGCAAGCGTATAAAGCTAAACAAATTAATACCTACTAAGTGTTTAAATAGTACTAAACGAATCAAAATATAAATACTTAAAAAGAAAAAAACGAAAAATTAAAAAAAGAACAGCAGCAGCAGCAGCAAGAAAAACGATGAAACACTGGAGGCAGACGAGAAAAACAAAACCGATTAAATTATTTGTTGAGTATTTTATTAAATAATAATTACGATAATAATTATAAAATTTAAATTGAACGAAATGCGAAAAACAAACTGAATATACATATATATATATACATACATATATATATATATATATATATGTATTATATATGAACAAATTATTTAATAGTTATGCTAAAAAATTATTTAAAGTGAACGGATATGAAAAATATTTGCATGCGAGCGAGCACGGAGAGAACGGCACTCAGAATAGGCCATCGCCACCCCCCCACCACATTCCAAATCCTGAACCCCACCTCCAGTTTCTCCCATTTTCCGACCCTTGACCCTTCAACCAGCTCTCTTTCCCCCTTCCCACAACCAAAATCTCAAGAAAAGGGCGAAGAAAGCTGAAAAGAAAAACAAAGCAAAGACGAAATCGGCGGCGACAGCAGAGATAAGCGTGAAGAAGATACTAAATCAATAAGTAAACATAAAGATTAATTAATAAATTAATTCCAAAACAAAAATGAAAAAAGCTAAAAAAAAACATCAAGAAAACAAAAGACAAAGCAAACAAAAAACATGACGAAACATTGAAAATAAAAAAAATACTAAAATGATTAACATAAAACTGTTTTAATGACAATGGGCTAACATTCTTAAGCAATTGTTATAGATTTTTTCTGTTACAAATTAAGGGATTTAATTGTATTTAGTTTTTGGAATATGTGGTGGTGGTAAAATTGTTGCTAGCTTTTAAAAAGTTGCCACATTCTCCAACACTCTTTTCGTGCATACTGAAATACTAAAAGAAATACAGGAGCGATGAATACCGACGAATATTTGTCAGTACTTTTTCGTGGTATTTTATGCATGTCAATCAGAGCAAAAGCAGAAGTAAAGCTAAGCAAATATTGTTGGAGACCAAATCTAATACAACGAGATATAACTAAGTACAGAAATGGCACTGCCGATACAACACGAGGATCTGACGAAGCTGAAGGTCTTCATTGACTTTGTGGTCGCGAATCCCACTGTCTTGAACATGCCGCAGCTGCAGTTCGTCAAAGATTTTGTGGAGAAGTTCGGTGGCAAGGTGCCGCCTGGCCAATTCAGCGATGGCGGTGCCGGAGGGTAAGTTACCCGTAATATTTGACTGCTAATTCACCTTGTGGGTGTCCCACAATAACATCACTGCATCATTGTTGCTCATCATCTTGGCTCCTTGTCTTTCCAGCAAGTGCCCCTTCGGTGGCGATGCTGGTGCAAAGGCCAAAGAGCCGGCATCTGGGGCCACTGATGGCAATGCCCCCGTGGATAGCGAGGACGAGGAGTCCCTTTCCGATCCCGAATCGGATGTGGAGCTGGACATGGAGGGTGAGTGCGAGTGCGAATTTTTGCCAATTTCTGCCGAGTCACGTGGTAATTAGGAGTCACCACCCTGGACTTCGATTTGTTTGCTGCCGCCGTATTGGCAACCCTGGCAGTTGCATTTTAATATTCAATGTTAAGTCTTAATTCAGCTTAAAACACTCAGCTGCAGAATATGTATATATATTACGACTATGCAAATAGTCGTATATATATTACAAATATGTCGATAATAACTATTAATATCCTTTTCCAGTGTGAACATTGCTTGCAATAGATTTTATTCTAAAGTATATGGTTGCAAACGTAATGATTTCACAAAAGTTATGCCAATGATAAAACTAAAATAAGTACAGCAGTTGGCAACCAATAAGTAGTTGAAAGAAGTGAATACGCTACAGATCAAGTGCAATAAGTCTTTGCTTCGATTGCTTATAGGTGTGATCGAGGCGGACAGCGATCCCGCCCAACCCATGGGCGACTCCAGCAAAGAGCCCACCGAAGAGGAGGTGGATCAGGCGGGCGATCTGCGCGCCCAGGCGGCCTCTGCCTACGGCCAGCAGAAGTTCGACGAGGCAATCGCCTTCTACACCAAGGCCATCGAACTAAACCCGGGCAATGCCCTGTTCCACGCCAAGCGTGGCCAGGCCTTTCTCAAGCTGAAGAAACCGAATGCCTGCATTCGGGACTGCGACAAGGCACTGGAACTGAACTGCGATTCGGCGGCTGCCTACAAGTTCAGAGGACGCGCCCGTCGCCTCCTTGGAGACTTTGAGCTGGCTGCCAAGGATTTGCGGCAGGCATGCAAGCTGGACTTTGACGAGGAGACGGATGAGTGGCTAAAGGAGGTAACTCCGAATGCCAAGAAAATCGAGCAGCATCGCGTGAAACAGGAGCGTCGCCAGGCCGAGCGTAAGATTAAGGAACGCCAGCGGGCACAGAGGCGCGCACGCAAGGAGCAGGAAAAGCAGAATGCTAGCTCTGGTGGATCATCTGGAGGATTCCCCGGTGGGCCGTCTGGATTCCCCGGCGGAATGCCTGGAGGTTTTCCTGGTGGAGCATCTGGTGGATTCCCTGGCGGATTCCCGGGCGCATTTCCTGGTAACGTAGATATGACTGATTTATTGGGAGCCATAAAGGATCCCGAGGTGGCAGCCGCCATGCAGGTTGGTTTTTTTTGTGACAATTATTGATAGTGCATTTTCTTATTTATTATTTATTTATTTTCATAGGACATTTTGGCAAATCCGGCCAACATCACAAAGTACGCGTCGAACCCGAAGATATTTAACCTTATTAAGAAGTTCGTGCCCGGTGGAGATTTGGGTGCTGCTTTTGGCCAAGCGGATGAAAAAGCTGGAGAGCCGAGCGAGCCAAAGACTAAAAAGGGCTCCGCCGATTTCGTCGATGACGGTTTGGACTAAGGTTTAGAGATTGGAAAGTAGTAGGACTGAAACAAGCGGCGATTAAAACAAAAAAAAAAGAAGTTAACAAACCAAACACACGAAATAGAGCGAGATGAAAAAGCAGCAAAGAAAGAGAAAGAAATAGAGAGCGAGGAAGATAAAAAGTACCATAAAAAACATAAAAGGGAAAGCGGCTGCTATACACATTTTTCATCTCAGATATAAACATTTCCTAAGCTTTATCTTAACCCACACGTAAAAGAAAGGTCAGCAATGCAGAAAATTTAAATATATATAATATATGTATACATAAAATACTACCAGCAGTCAGAAGAGAAGTAACTATTATTTCAACTCTCAGCTAAGACCATACGGAAATAGAACAGATAGATGTGGAGATGCTTCTTCACACATTATCCAAAATCATATTCGCGGCCATTCAAATAAGCAACTGAAACAATACAAAACAGAGCTAGAATATGTTTAGCAACTTTTTCCCATTTGCTCGGATTAACCTATGCCACTCTCAGTTCATTGGGAAATCATAAAACTGTCCTGTGAAAAGCAAAATACGAATGTTTCCTTATTATTGTTTAAACGTAAAGTCATATACAAGGGTCTCGATCGATCTAGTTGAACTAAAGCTCGATAAGAAACCAAAACAACATAAAAAGAAATATATTCAATAATATTAGCCTAAATTACCTGTGCTCGGAGACAACAGAATAACACGCCGAAGAAACGGATAAAACTAATCACACCATTTTGTCAAACAAAATTGTACTGAGTAGGATTTGATTCATATTGTACTAAGCAAATGCATTTAGCCTCCAAAATTATAACAATCGCCCACTCATATTCAACACTCATTCACACATACATATATTCATGGCCTACACGACATGTCTCACATTCATTCAACCAGTGATCAATGGAATTAAATAAACGAGAATCCGAAGTGCTAATGTGCATATTTTATTTAGCAGATAATACAGAAAGGTAAGTGGTTAAACAACAGGAAGAAATAATAGTTTATATAGTTTATATAATAATAGTAACCGTTTCGTTTTTTCTTATAATTTGGCTATGAAATCAAACCGCTAAAAGAGCAATTTTCGCACAGCATATAGGCATAGTTTATGATCCACATAACTTTTTATGATAGGGAAAACACTTTTTAATATATCTTGTATATTTCTATAGATTTGCCAAAAAGCTTTTTGTCACGCCCAAAAAAAAACTCTCACGCCCACATTATTTTAAACATTTTTAAGGAATTTTTCATTATATTAAAAATTTAAATGCAATTTAAATTTAAATTAAAAAAAAATAAAAAATGCCCCAAGGCTGAAGTTCTAAACTCCATAACTCAATCTATCTTAATCGGATTTTGAAGTGGCATACCTCTAAATGTTTCTGGAGCAATTCTCTAAAGATCTGCATTAAAATTTAGAAATTTATTTTTTTAAATTTTTTTGTAATTTTTTTTGATGTTAATGTAGAAATTCAATACAGATAAGAAATGTTCCAAGGCTGAAGCTCTAAACCCCATAACTCAACTTATCGTAATCGGATTTTGAAGTGGCATACCTCTAAATGTTTCTGGAGCAATTCTCTAAAAATCTGCATTCAAATTTAGAAATTTATTTTTTTTACATTTTTTTTAAATTTTTTTGATGTTATGATGGTAGAAATTCAAAAAAAAATTAGAAATGTACCAAAGCTGAAGTTCTAATCTCCATAACTCAAGGTATCTTAATCGGATTTTGAAGTGGCATACCTCTAAATGTTTCTGGAGCAATTCTCTAAAAATCTACATTCAAATTTAGAAATTTTTTTTTTTTTTAATTTTTTTGATGTAATAGTGTAGAAATTAAAAAAAAATTAAAAAATGTCCCAAAGCTGAAGTTCTAAACTCCATAACTCAACCTATCTTGATCGGATTTTGAAGTTGCATACCTCTAAATGCTTCTGGATTTTCTTCGTATTTTGGGTAAAAGAGCTCAAAAAGGCTGATTATTACAGCTTATAGCCAAGCTAACAATTGAGGATAATGAACGGAGAACGTTCATTTGGAAACGCCATACAAACTGTTGATCTAATCCTATCCCGAATTTGTGTTTTTCTGAAAAAGTGAGCAATCCATGATCTTTGTTCCTGGTTCAGGAGAAAAACTTTTGCTTTCCCTGCCACCCGGCGGCGCAGATGGAGTCGTAGTTCCTGAAAACTATCCGGTGTATCACCTGTGCGGATTGCTCGGGGTATATGGGAAATATTGGGTACCTGGAGTGTATAAAAGCGTCGATTAGACGCTTCAATGGTTGCACCCTGCACCCTGCACCCTGCACCCTGGATCCAGAACCTATCTCCCGCACCCCGCCCCATGTCAGCGCGAAATTGGCTAACGGACAGCTTGGCGCACATGTTCGATTATGGCCGAATCGAGCGACCAAGCAGAACCACCGGCACATGACCTGGGCTCAGTGGTGCCCAGACCTGGCTGGGTTGTACCCAAAGGTACTTGTTTGTGTTTTAAACGCAGCCTTGGTACAATACCAGACCAATTATTGAGTTTATAATGCGGCAAAGGTGGATTTGAAATGGATAGTTATAGATCTTCTATCTACTATCTACAGTGATGTTAATATTAACAAACAGGTGATATTATTATTAATATATGTATTTTCTACATTATCGTACTTATTTGTACCTGTGCCATCACAGGTACGGCTCCTCTCTCCATCGACTGCAGACGTACCGCTTATGTGCATGACTGGGTGTCCGGAGTGGTGGATTTGGATGTGGATGAGTGGCAGGAGGGCGCAGGCGCAGCTCAGCTCAGCCCAGCCAAGTTGGTCCCAGCTCCTGGCGGCGGCCCATCGCATTCCGTGGCCAGTCGCAGCGCGAGACGGTTAGCCAGTTCGGACCGATTAATTCCCAATACCCGCTCTTGGCAAAACTAAGAACTACAAATTAGAAGTAAAGCAGGAAGGAAATATCCTTCGTGTCCCCTACACAAATACAGGTCAATTTTTTTCCCGTGTTTCTTGCTCATTTGCCGCAAGGTGTGAGTTGTGTGTGTTGGCTTGGCTTACGTGATTGAAATCGAGACAGCCAGGACATCATGATTGTCAACATGCCCGTCAATGGAACGGGCAGTGCATCCAGCCCCACAACGAATCCCAACAGCAACAGCAACAACAACAACAACAATAGCAGTACAAACAATCAAAATGATAGCAATAGTAATCTGCCCGGCGATTACAACTTCCTGAAGCGCAAGTTCGACGATCAGGAGGAGCTGGCTTTGGGCCACGACTACGAGCCCATCGAGGCGAATCCCTGGAAGAAGCGACACTTGGACTACGATGCCGGGGATCTGCACTTCCACCTGCAGCTGGAACAGCCGCCCAGTAATCCGCCAGCCAATGCTGCACCCGCCCAATCCACGACGTCCTTCATCAACGATCTCTTTGCCTATGATAGCAGTCTTCTGGTGCCCGCCGCCGCCTATTCGCACTGTCCGCCATCGAGTGCGCCTTTGGAGGACAATGGTGGTTGGACCGGTGGCGAGCTTCTGGAGCTGGATCATCGCTATAACTCTGGCTTGCAGGCGGAGCTGACCCAACTGAATGCCACGCTGCCGCCGCCACCGCCAACATCATCATCATCATCATCATCAGCATCAGCACACAATGCATCGAACCATACGCAGCAGTCCACACAGCAGAATGCCAGCCCAGGACAGAATCCTCACCAGAATCAACATTTTCTGGTGCCGCAGAAGCAGCGGACACTGTCGGCGGGCCGACGCACCTCATCCGGCTCGGGCAGTGGGGCGAATGAAGCCACCGAGGCGGACTTCGAGGATAAGAATCTCTCATGGCTGCTCAACTTTAAGTTCGACGAGTTTCCGCACCTATCGCCGCACAATCAGGTACACGGCCAGGCGGTCAATCTGCCGGAGGGCAGTGCTCCCCCACATCCGCCACCGACGGCAGTGGCGGTCAGCACATCGCCCTGCAGTTCCACCTCGCCCTCATCTGCCTCCGCCGCATCCGCATCTGCATCCGCCACGAGCACAAATCAATCCCTCGGATCGGGTATGCTGGATCAACGGGCCAGATCGCCCAAGAGCTGCTCCAGTGCAGCGATGACAGCGGGCGGAGGAGGATGCAGCGGTTCTACTGGCGCTTCAGCAGCTGGGGGCGTGGCCGGCGTGGGCTCCACCAAGACGGGGCGCAAGTTCGAGGAGCTGGTGATGGAGGTCACCTCGGAGCTGGACGGTAACGACATGATCGTTGCCGAGCACGTTGTCGTCGAGGATACATCGTCCAAGACGTAAGTGTTGCAGAACTAAGACTAAATAAACTTAATGTGACAGTGTCAACTGTTAAATATTTTATTTTATACTTCTGTTGAAAGATCTATTTTCGTTCCCGCAGCTCTAATAACAATTTATATTGAGTTCACAATTCACAGGTGAATTGGAAATGTACCGATTCTGGGGAAAGTTATGTGTGTATTTGATCAGTTAAATAAGTTTTCTTCGATTTGATAACCATTCTATTTGGATAATATAAAACATTTATTGTTTCGTTAATAGTTGGCATCATTAGGTTCTTGTTTTGTATAAGTCTGTCCGTTCTAGCATAATTCTTCAAGTATATTTATTAAATTCAGCTATAAGTTCAAGTCATTTCATTGCCTTTCTAAATTAACCAGCCAAGGATCTTAATACATTTTGATACATAACTAAATGCAATCTGAGGGTATTTTTTTAAAGATATTTTTGAGATATTTCTAAGACATTTGCAAGATATTTATTTAACACACTTTGAATCTTTTTCTCCGATTTGTGCGTTCACCATTTGCTTTTGACGCCGTCCTCCAATCGATGCCGCCGACGAATTTCCCCAACCATGTAACCACCCAATCGCCGAACCGCCGCACCACCGAACCACCACCCACCAACGTGGCTGAAATCCAAAACCAACCACCACCGCAAAACAAGCAGGCCAAAGAAACCACCGTTCACCTACACGGAGCTCATCGAATACGCCCTCGAGGATAAGGGTGAGCTGACTGTGTCGGGCATATACCAATGGATATCGTAAGTACTGTCCCCCATCGAACCCCCCACTAAACCACCCACTGAACCACCCACCACCCACCACCCACCGCCCATCCATTTGGATGGACGCCATTTTGTTGAGTGTTTTCCCCCTACTATTGTAGAGGGTGGGGGGCAAAAAACGCCAGCCGGATGCAATTAAACAAATCTGAAGCATTTGTTCTTGGCCTTTCCCGTTGGCCATTTGATTTCCACGCTCGTCAGGTATTTGTGTTGCGATTTCGCTCCTTGGTTGTTAACCAAAGTGCACAAAGTGCAACAACACAACAGCAAAACAAACAAAAGCGGCAACAATGAAAGTGCCAAAAGTTAGTAGCTCAAACAAATTTATGGGCTGGAAAATTGCATTTACCCTGCCTTCACATACGGTGAAGAACAAAAATGTTGTTAACCAAACTATTTGCGGATTGTTCCGTTCAACAAGTTGTTTACGCCAAACTGGTACTCACTATTTATCAGCTAATACTGTTGGCGAACCATTAATTTCGGCTTTTACCTACTTATGTGTCTGTAAGGATTGCTTAGTGGTAACGCCTAATATATCAAAATGAATGGAATATTAAAAACTCACAGTTTTGTAAATATAATTTGACAGGGCTTACAGTTTCCTGTAAGTATACTACTTTACTTTTAAGTATTGAAAACTAACTAGATATTACCTAGTTCTCGCAGTCCACCCAGTTTTTCATTCCAATCTATTCGATCCACAATCCATTCTGGCCACGTTTAGTTGGAAAATATCAATACGACGCGAATCGTAGACGAAGAACACAAAAAGTTTTAACACATTTTTCAAGGTTCATTAATTTGGCATTTCGCCCCCACTATTCCCCACCTGTTTTTTCTTCTTTTTTTTTGTTTTTCTACCTTTTGTTGTGTTCGAAGCCCCGGGAATCAGTGTAAATATTTGAAGCCGCAGCCGCGAATGTTGCGTGTAAATATCCTATATAAATTTACATATAAAACCACCCCGTTTGGGTGGGGGAAGGGGGAGGCAAATAATTTATGACATTTGCCCATCACCTGCGCACCTCAGCTCCCCTGCATTTAATGTAGTAATGAATCGACAGTCCAAGAAGTTTCGGCTCAGTTCAAATGGGCGTGCAGTTTGGGGGAAACTTTTCATTAACCATTCACAAATTTACCTTGCGGCCCCCAGTTGGTTGTGGGCTGGCAAACAGGGGGTTTTTGGCTATTGGGTTTTGGGTTTTGGGTTTTCGCAGGGTGGAGTATGGGTTATTTCTCCTTTTTTTATTCCAGGGCCGTGTCCTCGCGCAGTCAAGGCAAAAATGGCGCCTGCGCAGGGGCTTTCAGCCAACAAAGCCACGTTTTCCAATGGCAATTTACGGAACTTTGCTGGCCCACGCGACCCGAATACCCTCATTCCAATCTCCTTAATCGTTTCGCCCTGGCAATTGCCCATGAAATTTCCACTGCTCACAATAATTATTAATTGCGGGGGTTGGAGGCGCAAGTCGGGGTCCTTCCGGCTTTTCTACACCTTTTACATGCATCATTGCATCCCGGGGATCAGGTGTTTGACGTACCCATGCCCATGTCCATGCTCATGCTCATGCCCAAAATGCTAGAGAGCAATTACCTGGTCCGGGGTCCGGGGTTCGGGGTTCGGGGTCCGGCGTTCGGCGTTCGGGGTTAAGGGGTTAAGTGGGTTAAGCGGGGGTTGGTACGCCGCCGCCCCTTCTTCCGGTCAATTTCGAATGCATATTGAGTGTTTATGGGATGCGGATCATGCTTGATCGGCCAGGACATGTGGCAGGATCCCCCGCTCCCTGCAGCAACCGCAACTAGGATAACTATCACAATTTATGCACGAGTATGTGCAACCCTTGCCAAGGATGACCGGCTGACACGTAGAATGTATTTCCTAATCCCTAATACATATGGTTTTTTCATAATAAGAAAATGTCAAGGCTGGCTTCGATTTCGTTGTGAAAAGTCAAGAGATTTTCGTTTTCGAGACGGACGACGACCTTCTCCCACAACGGAATACCTCCACCAGCCCACATGTTTCTTGGCTTACCCAACTGCCACAAAAGATCGAGTCCGATGTTCTTGGGATAACTTTGGCTTTCGGTTTAGCAGTTTTCTTTTCGAGGGGCGTGGCTGGCCACAGTTACGCCCAGCGAGAGGGAAAAATAGAACGGAACAGAAAAAACAAAATTTGGCAATTGCCATTAAAAAGTTTTTCATTTTGCATAGCCGAAATGAGGCAACTTCTACTTTCGACTCTCCTCCTGGCCATAAATCCAGGCAATTTCTTTTATTGGCCGGGCAGAGCCAACGAGCCGCAACAATTTATGAACTGACTAGCGCAGTGCAATAAATATAGTGTGGGCCCCACAGCCATTCTCAGATATATACTATAAATTCTCATATAAATTGTGTATATATATATGTACATATAAATACGGATCCGGGGCCAGAAGTAGTTGCCCAGTCTGGTAGCCTGGTCCTTGCTGCCATGTAAAAAAAGAAGAAAATGAGTGTTCGAGGTGGCTTGCGTGCCAGGCACTTCCAGGCACGGCCCGGCCCATTTGGGCCTTTGGGCCTCCAGCTCTTTAAGCCTCCGGAGCCTCCAGCCCCGGGCAACCAACTAGTCCGAGCGACCATCGCAGCCTATCAGACCTCATCACGGCCCGGAATGGCTGCCTTCGAGGCGAACCGATTGGATTGGAATGGGGGCTGCTATTGGATAGTCAATTACATAGCAGTTCTCATCGGGGCTGGACAGCTACTGGTAGATACCAAAAACTGCATTCAAATCTGCCTGCCATTCGTACAAAAGCATGGCAAAGGCATATTCGTGGCTTTAATTTAATCAGTAATCAAGTAATCAAGTAGCAACGTAGGCATTTTTCTGGCCTTTCAGCTACACTAAAAAATAGCATACGCTTTAATTTACCATTAATTTTGAGCAGATTTGTATGCTAGATAATATAGTTATTATCATGCTAGAATGGACTAAAAATGGGTAAAAATTGGGGCGGGCATTCCGTGTATTTCGACAATTTCCATCATTTATACTTTGTGCAGTCGCCCGAATTCAAATCCGAGGCAAAGTCAGTCATTCAAATTCATTGACAACGATGACGACGCTGATAGCGGGTATTTGATTTTACCAAAAGTAACAAAGCCACTCAGGAACTCCAACCACCCCCACCAACTGAAAGGTGGGCGCCTTCTATGCCCCCCATCCCCCCGTAAAACATACCCTTCGAGTGGAGAACTACGTGCTTGAAGCCACGTTGACAATTCGACAAGTGCGACAGACAAAACATGATATACACACTTGTAGTTTTATATAATTTACCTGTTCCCTCAGATATGTGTATGTACGAGTATCGATTTGCTGGGTGCATGATTAAGACCAGACAGTCATGCAGCGCCCATAAACATAAACTATCCCATCCGGACTATCAATGCTGACTTAATATTTTGCAATTGGCAAGTGCATGTGGTAAAAAGGATATGTCTTAGGCCTTCTTTGGCTGGTTAAATGCTTGTATATGGCCAAAGAGATCTCGAAACTAAAGATATGATGCATTTTTGGATCTCAGCTGTAAGGGTTTTACACTTTGATGGGATTCAAAAGTCTTCATGACATAGATCCAGAAGCATACCCAACTTGTATTTAGAAAACCAACTCGCTCCAGAGGGCCAACCAGCCAGTCACTCGCAAATGGAGTTGATTTCATTCAGTGGGATATTAGATCCCAACTCCGGCGAAGTCAATTTCAAGTGCCATATCATGGGTTGATGCGTCATGACGGGCTGCGTGCCAAATCCCGGCAATAGTTCGTATATGTACATGTATCCCGGTTTCAAATGGCTGGAGGGGATACACACATGCCCCACACATCGCAGTTATCAGGACATTGCCGAGGGGTCATTAAGGAGTTCGCTTTCGGGGGATGGGGGAAATGCCGTGGATTTTCATATTTCAGTTCATTTCTCCATTTATGAGTCGTCATTTCTCTCCCGAAAGTGGGAAATCCGAAAAGGAAAATACGGAAAAGCGAAAGAAAGGTGGGTGCTTTGGGGCCATCAAAAGCAAGCTCCACGTTTTCTGGCTTGCGTGCTCAAATTTTTTTTTGTTTTTGGATTGCTTTCGAGCTGAAATGTGGGCGTAGAAAATGGTGGAGAGAACAGCCCGGGGGCAGTGGCAGTTAACCAATGACATAGCCTGACCCATTCGGGGGTTGTTTTTCCTCCCCGGCGCGTGCCGCCCACCCACTCCAATCCTCTGTGTGTCGTAATTTGAAATACTTTCCATTTTGTTGTCCGCCAAAGGCCCCCAACCGAGCGCAAGGCCCACAGCCCACAGCCCAAAACACAGCGAAGAATCCTGGCACGCGATGTCCTTTCCGGTCGTCGTTGTTTCCTCTTTACATCTGAAAAGTGGGAGTGGGTGGTGGATAGTGGTAGCGGGCTGATTGCGGGCTCTTCCACCTGCTAGACATGGGGCATACTTCATTCTTCATTTTTTTTTTACCACCCGAAATCGCTTGTTCGTGACTGACTAGCAAGTAAAAACGAGCTAGAGCACCCAGGGAAAAGGGAAAGAAACGACGCATAATTTGTGCCAGCGTCCCTGTCCATGTCCTTTTTTCGTTTTCCGTGTCCATGTCCATGTCCATGTCCGTGTCCGTGTCCGTATACCCCAGTCAGGCATTTAACGGACTAGTATGGGTCTGCCGCAGTGCTGTTCAATGACGTGTTTTCGTGAAAATTGCCTCGTTTCCGCTCCGGATTGGCTGCTCGAAATGGGGGCTGAAACTTTCATTGCAATTGGTCAACTGGCCAGTGGTGAGTGTCCACGTGGAAGAGCCAATCCTAAAAGAGCTCAAAATTATGATGTGATGGGAAAACGACATGAAGATGGCGGTTCACAATAGCTATACTAACTTATTTCCATATTATCTGAACATTTTAGCGATCGTTTCCCCTACTACAAATCCAATGATGACCGCTGGAAGAACTCCGTTCGACATAATCTATCGATTAACCCACATTTTCGGAAGGGAGTTAAGGCGCCCCAAGGAGCCGGTCACCTGTGGGCCATTTCCAGCGGAGATTCCGCAGAGAATGTTCTCGCCTGGGAACATGTAAGTGAAGATCCTAAGCGCCCTCATACAACGCCTTTTAATACCATTGAATTTGCAGAAGAAGCAGCGGCTGGATTTGTTCTTCAAAATGGAGTCGATCAATCGGGAGCGCATACAGCTGCATCAGCAACAGCAGCAACTGCAGCAGCATCAGCAGCAGCACCAGCAGCAGCACTCGCCGCAGCAGCAGCAGCAACAGCAACAGCATCCGGCGGCACAACAGCAACATGTGGCACAGGCCAGTAGTTGCATGTACGATGAGGCGGCAGTGGCAGCGGCTACGCTCACCCAGGAAATGATGCAAACGTCCAGTGGCAGCAGCACTGAGGTCAACCAGCAGCAGCAACAGCAGCAGCACCACCACCACAGCCACCAGAATCACCACAATCACAATCATCACCACCAAAGACTGCTGCCCTTCAACGATCTGCTGAGCGATGATGAGCTGCGAAAGACGGCGGGTCAAATACTGAATGGAATCCATCGCGAGGTGGAGGTGCAGTCGGTCAACTCCATCATCAGCACCTACCACGATGTCCTGTTGGATAATGGTGAGTGATAATCTAAAAGGCTTGATCAACTAACTCTCTTCTTTCCATTTTATTCAAAGACTATTTGAATCCCATACACAAGGACGTGGTGGTAACGGAAAGTGTCCTACGGCAGCAACATGGCAGCAACTTGGGCGGCGGCAGTAACAACCAAATGGGCGGCAATAGCCACATGGGGAGCGGCAACTCGCAGTACTACATCACCGAAATTGATCCCATGGAGCTCGGCATTCACATGTCGCACCAGGTGGAACCCTCCGAGGAGGAGGTGCTCTTCAGCGACGAGTTCAACTTGAACTACTTTGGCTATAATCCCGGTAGCGACATCGTCGCTTGACCGCGCAGACAACAGACTCCAGTTTCAGCTCCTCCAGCTCCCGCTCAGCCAAGCAATTGAATTATGAATATATGCATACTTCTATATGTATATATTGCTCGATCCTGCTCCATGCCATGACAACAATCGTAATTGTAGCCGATCTACTCATAAGCCAACTCTAAACAAATACTAGTCACACTTGAACAACACTTACATGTAACCACCTAAATCAAAACCTACTTACCGTTTACCATTTAGACCCTATGTATAGTCTAGTCTTCAGTGTACCAATAACACCCCAATTACCCCTTATTTTTTTGTCTATACTTTAGTTGAATACTTAGGCCATAAGTAGCTTTCTAGCTCTAAGTACTTATTCGTATAACTGCTCATGTATCTATCTGCAGAGATTACATACTTAGCTCCTGCTCCTCTTCGAATTTAGTTAAGTGTTTTTACATGTAGCCGAATATCCGTAAATAATACCAGGCAGAATGATCTCCTCTCCACATACATATATGTTAACAAAAATTGGAGCAATAGAGCAGAAGAAGTAGTACTAATCCTATGAGGTGGGGAAAGTGTTTATGGTTTCCCTTACCGAAGTCCGTAGAACTAATGGCACCTAACTGGTTTTATTCATTATGGCAAAATATACCTTTTTTTTATTAAAACCATTTGATGAACATTTATTTAGGAGCACAAATTAAATGGTTATTCACTGGCGCGCCGAAAAAGTGCTGGAGAATTTGACGTTTGCGGATGAAAGAATTATTCTTTGAACATTCACCATTAGCAGTAAAAAGTCTCCGGATGTGTTCGAGTATTGGCTAGGGAAAAGGCCTGATCTCTCCGCTGGTGGGTGACTTCACTAACTGCTCATCGCGTTTCTCCACCATCACGATTCTCCACCATCGCGTTTCTCCACTATCACGTTTCTCTACCATCGCGGATCTCCACTGCCTTTTCAATCAGTCGTTCTTTACTCTCGAAAGCGGACGGACGTGTCGGTTCGCTGTCGGTGTGTTTCGATTTATAGCGGCTGCTCTGACTTTGTTTGCGTTTGCCGTTAGTGTATTTGCATTTGCATTTGCGTTTGCGCAGTTGCCACACAGTTGTGTTTTTGTTGACGTGCGCGTGTGTCTTTGCCAGTTTGTTTGTCTTTGCGAGGCTAAACCATTAGTTGCTAGTTGCTGGATGGCTTTTGCCTGTTTTGTCAAAAAAACTAAACCGCGATTGCAAACCTGAATAATGAAGATGAAGATGAAAAACAAATAGTGGCCGAGTTGAGTTTGTTTTTGTGTTTGCTGAGTTTTTTGAGTTTTTGTTCAAGTGAAAGCGTGTGAAAAGTGGCCAACACTCGGGCAAAGCCCTCTCGCACTCTCTTTTGGCTCTCTTTTGGCTTTTGGCAAGGGTAATATACTCGTACACAATAAACTCAAGACCCGACATCCACCGATATCCAGCGATATCCCCATATCCTGCCTTGCGGCCAGCCGAAAACTTCCGGTCAACATGCAACCGCAATTGTTGCATCGCCGCAGCCTCCGCCCTTCATCGTCATCATCATATTAGCCACAGGTGTAGCCTGGTAAGTGAAACCTATACCTATACCTATACCTCCTATACGTATACCTAAACCAACTACCCATAACCATGCCGGGTTATGACATCGAGCTAATCTGATTAGGTTTTGGAGGGGGTAGTTGGTTGATGTGTGAGTTTCGAGATAATGTGCGCTGGGCATCCATCAATCATCCACTCAATCGCTGATCCGCTGATCCGCCTGGGAAGTGATTTTCTACGGTTTGCCAGGGAAAACAGAACCCCGAAGGGAAGAAAATGAAAATGACTTCTGGAGAGGCGTCATTTGATAGGTGATCAGGGTTTCCCGTCAAAGGTGAAACAAATTTTACTTGATTTTCCAAATTCCAATGAGAATTCGCTTTTCGAACACCGGAGACAATGGGGCTTTAAACTTTGAATACGGAACACAATCTTCGCATTAAACAAACTACATTAGTTGGGTTAAATTTCGAATTTGGAAGTGTGTTCAAGTATTGACACCGATACTAAAGATCTCTCATGAAAGCCTTCAGATGCACAAAAACCGAGAACAGATTCATGGCTTCTGAAGGTCTGTGCACACGGCGATTCTCTCCGCCAATTTTGCCGGGCTCTTTTTATTTTGGCCTGTTCTGGTTTCACATTTTTGGCAAACGCTTTTTACGACGTTTTGTTGCTCCGGCTTCTTTGGCTGTCATTTCATTCGGAGACAAGTAGTTGGGGCTTTCGGGGTCAGCCACTCTCGATGCGATGCGATAGTGTACGTGATGATCGCGTTTTTTGTTGCTGTCCATGTTTCCAGATTTACTGATTGATGGCAAATGTTTTGCTTCAGTTATTAATGTTTTGGAATGTTTGCTTGAAAACTTTCGCACTAAACGAGTGTTGCACTTGGCATTTTTCGCCCTGTCCCCAATTGCGTAAAATTTGCGTAGCTGCCGCCTGAGATATTTTCTGAAATTGTTCGATTTTCACCTGCCTCGGCAACGCCGTCAGGTGCGTAGCTCCGTTCAGGTAATCGATGCGTTCGTTCGAATTCGCAAAATGTTGTCCCGTTAAGTGTTGTCGCCGCCAAAAGATTGTTAATTGCCGCGATGGTCGCCAAACCCGTAGTTTTGTGGGCTTCGGGGGGCTAAGAGGCACAGTCTGCGAGCTGCCGTGTAATTAAAAACCATCGGCGATCATCGTAGGTTGCTTGCCAACTGCTCATGGCTGAAAAAAAACCAAAAAGAACAAAAATCGAGTAAAATCTATATAGTCGAGTGCTTTGACTGTGGTATATCCAAAACTAACTTTTCAAGCAACTTGGCGTCCCAATTTCTTTACATTAATTTGTAGCAATTTTATGACTGTGCTCAGCTTAATTATTAAACAGCCTTATCAGGTTTATAATCTTTCAACTGATTGAAAATTCATGCAAGTGTCTGTGGATTGGGCGAGTTACAAAAAAAATTCCTTGGGCTAAAGTTTGCCCTAAGTTATTTTGAATTGGAGCAACAAGTAAGGCGCACACAAACAATTTGTCAATTTAGCAATTGCTCAAAGCAAATTGCGTGAGACTCAAACGAGTTGAAGTTGTGACCGAAGCATAAAAATTTATGTATTCAAATAATTGCGAATTTTTAGGCATAATGCTCCAAGCTGAGAGAGCTCAAAAAAAAAGAAAACACTTTAGAAGGGACAGAAGCTTTGTGTGAAGCATTTGTCTTTACAAGAGAATGCAATGCTATGCATTCCTGCCCTATAAACGGTCTATAAAACACAAGCAAGCAAAGCGTTATAAAGTGCAACAAAACTCCCTACATTCTTCACCCTTTGGAAGTACACTGCAAAGTATATTCCACCTAAAAATATCTACTCAGAAACTACCAAAGCTTATATATATTCTTGTGGAGTTAGAAACTGTTTATGAAGTTTTGCTGCACTACAAGTTCAATTGAAATGCTAGAGCGATCGAATGCCAGGCCAGACAAAAATAAACCAAATCAGCACTTTTGGAGAACTCTTGGATGCTGAATTTCGTTTATTTCGGGGGGTTAGGAGGTGGTGGTGATGGAGGTGGAGGTCTAGGGGCACGGCACGTGCCTGGCCGGCTAAAAACGATCTGGATATCTGGGAGAAGGGATGCAACGTTGATGGTTCTGCCGGCCATTGTAATAAACAATAAACAGATCTTTGATTACTGCTGCACATGTGCAGGGCATAGCGATTTATAAGAGTGCAAGTATGGGAGGCTATGTGTGAATGTGTGTGTGTGTGGGAGGAAGGCTACACTCTTGTGTGTATCTATAGGATGTGCCGACACTCCGATCTGCTGGCATTACGCTAAGTGCGCACAGCATGTACTTAGGAACTTGCGAGCTGGCTGGCTCCTAGTGGCGTTCCTCATTCCTCCAATGACGAGAATCAGGTTCGGAGTTCGCAGAGTTCACTTGCTCGCCAGATTCGCTTAGTTTAAGATCTCTTTGGGTGGCATGGGAACTTGCGCGACTCCAACAGCGGCAGAACTCTATCCAATAACTAAGACGACATTGCTAGAGCCAAGTTACACATTATTGTTCATCAAAGTCGCCATATAATCGCAATTCATAACTAGGAGAGCTTCACGTCCGATAATTCGTATTTCTTAGATATATCTTTCAAGACACTACTTATGTATTTCATGGATGCAAAGAGTAGAAGGCAAAACGACAAAATTTTAATGAATTATCACAGTGACGGGCTGTGTGATGCGATGATGATGGTTATCGCGGAACGGGGCTGTCATTGAACCTGCTCCGTGGCTCCATTGTCTGCCATTCGGATCTCCCATGGAACTGCCATATTATGGTGCCGCACCGCGGTTTCTATCTATCCATCTGCGGATGGCGTTGCCATCGACCATTTGTCATCTAGTAGGCGTCGTATTCCGATTCGGAATCGGAATTAGAGTGAAGTGGCCTGGTGTCTTTCGAGCACGAGGGGAACGAAACCAACTCAAGACGCCTCGAGAATTCCCAACTCTTTCTCGACTCTGTTTTTGGAGGCTTCTCCGCACCCGGCTTGTAATTATGTTCGATCTGCGTTCAAAGTTGCGTGTTCTGCTTCTTTTGGGGGGCTTTGTCGCTGACGGCATCCAAATTTCAACAACATCTCAACTGAAGAGTGGACAGGAGTCGTTGGGTAGACCGGGGTCTTTTCCTTGCTGGTTTTCACATTTGGCTTTTCTGTTAATCGAGTTTAAATCGACGATTGAGTGATTGAGATAGCCGGTACTGGTTTTTAATTTCTCGCCATTGAGTCCTTTTGTAATGCGATCGCTGCACTTGTGCCCAGCGCCACTTGAGATGCATTTTCCGGAAAATGCGTTAGGCTCAAGTGGCTTGTAGTTGCAGTTTCCCATCGCAGCGCATATAAATTGCCTAATGTTTTCCCATTCGAAGCGCCTTGAGCTGTGTTTTCCATGTGGAAGCGATCATTAATCCTTATTATTATTCCGGGACTCTGTTGGCAGTATTTTTCGTCGTCAGATCGGTAAAACTCCTTTATGAGGACATGCGATTTCTACTTCTCACGCGACCGCTTTCACCCAAAAATCAAACCAGTGGGCCAACGTTAAGTGCGATCGGGTGGCCTAAACTTGTTCGGATCGATGGATGGGCGATGGACTTCTTACCAAAGCAACACGCAACTTGTAGCATTTTCGGTTGTTGTATATATATATATACTTTTTTTTTTTTTTACATGATCGAGGAAATCAACGACGCACTTGTATGCGTACGCAAAAGAAATCTCACATGCTGCATGACACGACGACTCTCCTCCGTCCGACAAACAGTTAGTGTGTGCGTCTGCTGGGCCTGGCCTGAAAAAAGAAACCCATTAAAAAATGTTAATTTCCATAAAATAAAACCGTCTACAGCGAGACGGAGAGCGAGAACGCCAGAGAACCGCACGTGGCCAAAAGTCACAATATACGTTTAAAAGACAACGTACAGTGTCTGTTTGTTTGAAAGTCGTTTTTTTTAGCTTTTTTATTTCGGATATACTGGGTTTATTATGCGTGGCATTTGCATAACACACCCACTATCCAAAAACA